ACTGGTCCAGTGGATGTGTGAGGAGGACTCCATTGAGTTGCCTGCAGGATCACATTAAATTTTTAAAGCTTGGAGGTGTGAAATTGCCAGATCTCCTTCAGTTTTCACTAAACAAGAGCATGAGTCTAAAAGAATGTCAGGCAGAATGCTTGAAGAACTGCTCTTGCATGGCTTACGCAAATTCAGATATTCGTGAAGGTGGTAGTGGTTGTTTCATGTGGTTCGGGGATCTGATCGATATTCAAGAGTTTTCTGAAAGAAAAGAACGATACATCTACATGCGAATGGCAGCAGCCGAACTTAGTAAGTATATTCAAGTTTATCTTAGGACAGAATTTGAATTCTCTTTCTATGTAGGACAGATGATCAATCAGAATATTGTTCTTGCGTAATAGTACTGCACTTTTGAAACTAGTACTGTGAAAACAGTGTTAATATATTCTAGTTATTAAGGTACAGCCCTATAATTAATTAAATCTTTAACATTCAGATCACAATAAAAAGACGACACTGGTGCTGATCTTGGTCATATCGTTAGTTTGCGGAATGCTTATCCTCGGCTTCTTGATCTTTCGTCTCATCAAGAAGAGAGAATCGAAAAGAGGTGCGCAAACTTTTCCAATCTCATTGAATTAAATTAACTGGTTTTCCTCTGATCGTTATCCAACTGATTGCTGACAGCATTTGATATCGATGTGAAAGATATAGAGCTGCCAATGTTTGATCTGAGTACAGTTACTAATGCAACTGAGAACTTCTCATTAACAAATATGCTTGGAGAAGGAGGATTTGGAATTGTGTACAAGGTAAGAAAGTCATTTAAGTTTTGAATGATTTTGTGGTTGTTGATAGTGAGCAGCGGCCTCATGACAGACCCTTTGAACAATGTACAGGGAAAATTACCAACAGGGCAAGAAATTGCAGTGAAGAGACTCTCAACGAATTCTGGACAAGGTCTTCAAGAGTTTAGGAGTGAAGTAATTCTGATTTCCAAACTTCAACACCGGAATCTTGTCTGGCTTTTGGGATGTTGCCTTGAAGGAGATGAAAGGATGCTAATTTACGAATATATGCCCAACAAAAGCTTGGACAATTTCATATTTGGTTAATCTGCCTCTATTGATCTCCTATTCGATGAATATGATGTATATTTTCCAACCACTAAGTTGTCCATATATTATGAAATTGTTGCAGATCAGCATAGAAAAACATTGATTACATGGAAAAAGCACTTTGAGATTGTTATGGGCATAGCGAGAGGACTTCTTTACCTTCATCAGGACTCTCGATTGAGAATTATTCACAGAGATCTTAAGAGTAGCAACATTTTACTAGATAGTGACTTGAATCCCAAGATTTCTGATTTCGGCCTCGCAAGAACTTTTGGTGGAGATCAAACTGAAAGCAAAACAAAGCGAGTAATTGGTACTCAGTAAGTTCTATTTTAACTCCCCATTCTGAGAATTAAAATATGGATTTACTTTGTCTAGAACCTAACCTCAGGTTCATGTAGTGGCTATATGTCGCCAAAATACATTGTTGACGGGAAATTCTCGGTGAAATCTGACGTCTTCAGTTTTGGAGTGCTTTTACTAGAGATAGTGAGTGGTAGGTGTTGCATAAATTTGAAAGGAACCATATTCATAAAATCCTTCCATAAAATCATAAATTCCATGTTGAAATCAAAGAGACAACAAAAAGTGCGGAAACATACCTTGATCCATGAATCTTACTGCTTTAATTGGGTTTTGATCTTCCAATTGATACGTGATTATCCTTCCTTTTGGTTTTCTTCAAAGTCTCTGTTGATGGGGATGCAGAGATATTTTCCAAAGAAAAATCACGTTCAAATTGGGGACCATAACCACTTTTAAAATAACTGCTATTGGCAGTTATTAACTTTAAGTTATTTCAAATCGGCCCCTCATCAATTCAAAATAACACCTTCTGGTCTCCACACTTTAATCCCATAAAATTTAATACCCATTAGTCCAAAATTAAATCCAATGGATCACTTTATCGACTATATTTACTTTAAAATAGCACCACACATTCTAATAAATGTACATGTATGGCCCCAAAGTTGGAATTTTTTCCAACAGTAGGAAGAATTGGAGATTTCACCATTCCGACCATCATCATAATCTTGTAGGCCACGTAAGTCATATAAACCAGAACTTTTCTCTTCTCCTTATCCAATCTTTCCGTTCAGATAATTAATTGCATCTATTTATATTTCAGGCATGGTTATTGTGGAAAGAAGGCAGGGCATTGAAAGTAGCAAATGGCATTGCTGAGCTATTGTTGGTTGAATCTGAAGTGCTTAGATGTATCCAAGTAGGCTTACTGTGTGTTCAAAAACTACCACAAGACAGGCCAACAATGGCATCAGTAGTTGTCATGTTGAGCAACGAGAGTGTGACGTTACCACAACCTAAAGAGCCTGGTTTATTTGTGGAAAGAAGTTGTGATGAAACAGACACATTACCACGCGAGGAAACATACCTCACTCAAAATGACGTGGCAATATCCGTGCCGGAACCAAGATAAACGATTTATGTACACGTTGCCTTGTAAATCAGGTGTTGCCAATGATCTCATCTTCTTGTTCACCGTTAAAACTATTTGAAAATCCAGGCATGCAACATTTGAAAATATGCCATGTCAGCGCTATTAAATTGTGTTTTCAGCACTAGATAATGATTACACCCGTGGTTTAAACAACATATCGAATTTCTTGTTTCTAACCATGGTTGAGAATTGATATATTTTCTCGACCTCAGTCTAAAAAGGCCCGACCTTGTTTTCTGCATTTTTATGTCAATTGATACTAAGTTGAGTAATTTATATAACTTTCTTCTTTTTATTTTTCAAAACAGCTGTTTAATGAAACACCTTTCATAATGCAAGAGTACCCTTTCACTAGTAGAATTGTAGAAAGATCAAGGAGGGACACAAAGGAGTTATAGTGGAGGCCCTAAGCAATGGTTGGCTATAAAAGTCTCCATTGATGTCAAAATACATGACTATGAAGGTTAACAAGTGTGACTGGCACCTTAACTAAGTCAACACTTTTATTGTAGTTGCAAGAGAAGTCTGACTATCACCTTAAATCCATTACTACGAATATTGGGCTTACGCACTATTGAATATGCCTTTTCATTTTTAATACTCTACAACATATTAAACATGTTAAAAATAAGTGAAGGTTTCGACAACAGGTTGGGTATAAGCTTTTGTAAATGTCAAAGACCCATGCAAGAGTCTCAATCAAAGGTTCGTGATAGAATTTTGTGAGCGAAGAAGGCCTAACAAATTCCGTTCCATATTTTCTCCAAGATCATTAAATCCATTCTCGGTGATTTGAGATCTCGATATGCAAAAATTAGCTTCATTTGTTTATTCCAACCATCAAAATGGAAAAATATTAGGTTTCATTTATTGTTCACTAATGCAATGCCTTTGAATAAGACATCACATTTGAAATGACATCTTAGAATCATTCATTCGATCATTTCCATTAGTCTGGCATTAAAAGTTTAGCCATTTTTTTCTTTTTTCATCCCGTCATTATGGCAAGTACTGGTAAAGAAGAAAATTATGCTTCTATCAATACTCTTCAAATTACTACTTATCGATTGAATGGCCACAACTTTTTATAATGGTCTCAAGCTGTAAAAATATTTTTGAGGGGTATTATCTTAATGGTTCTGTCATTTGTGAAAACTGTAAGTATTATGCCCTAGATCCAATCATTTTTGGACATAAATATCTTTGATATATAATTAATGCAATTTAATGGCAGATCTATTTTTTAATTAATAGACAATTAAATAAATAATAGAGTCCGTAGATTCAAATCTTCGTAATTTGTTAATCACAAAGGAGTTGTGATTGTTAGATACAAATTACATCTGATTGAATCTTAAATCGTCCGTAGTCGTAAGTAATAACGAGATACGGATATCGTTATTACGGATAGATCATCACATGTGACATTTCTTACTTGTGAAGTAAGTAGCTGATCTCACAAACTAAAGTGTGGTGACACTTAAATGAATACGTGGATGTTTTGTTATAGAACAAAATATTGGAGACCCGCCGAGAGATTCCACATGGATAACTATCTAAGTATTAGTGGTTAATCTCTAATGTTCGGTAGTGGAATTGAGAATTGATCCTTTGACTTGAGGTCGTTATGGTACCTTATATGAGGACAGTCATACTTTGGCGGTGTTGGATGTTGCTCTGAAAAGGGCCGCTAATACGATATCGTTCGGTACATCAAGAATCGTATGAAGGTTATAATTGATCAATAAAGGATTCGTCACTCTTAGATAGTAGGAGATTATGATCCGCGTTTCATTCAATTAAGTCGATGATGAAATCTTTGGTCAAGGTGTACTCATAAGTCGAAAATGAGTTTTCGATTTATATTGACTTAATAGTGGAGTGAAAGACATGATCTTTAATCGATATTGACACACTTTCATATCTCGTTATTGATCGGATCATATTGACGAAGGGATTATAGTTTTACGGTAAACGAACGAGTTTGGTTTTGTCATACCACGTGACATTTTCCGTCACAAGTATTGCCCTGACACATTGCTAGATGTCAATCTGGAACGGCGAGTGTGAATAGATGATAAATTAAAAGGGCGTTTTAATTTATCAATTTTGATTAGATTAAAATAATATTTTACGTTGTTAGGTATCGTGATTGGGAACCTGATGGGTCGCACACAAAAGAGAATTGGAAGATTGCAATTTGTCAATTAATTAATTTAACAATGGTTGGATAAATTAATTAATTATGTTGGTTATTTATAGGCCCGAATTAATTAATTGGATTAATTAATTTACGGACCGGATTTAATTAAATGGATTAATTAAATATTAGACCGGATCGAGCCAGGCCCATTTGAGCTTATATAAATACATGGCTAGGGTTTTCAATCCATATGGTTTTTCTCATAATTGTTCTTGCTGGCACAAGAGGAGAAAACCTAGGTAGCTGCAATCTTATTCTTTGTGGATCGCCATTGGAGGCTGGACGATTGGAGAGCTGTGGGTGGCGAATCAAGATTGCTGGAACGAAAAAAAAAAACAAAAGATTTGCAGAATTTTTCAAAGGTACAATCTTTATCACGATTTCTATCTAAATACAAAGGGATTCTCAGTGGGAATCTAAATAATTTTAATTTTTCGTTGTGCATGTATAAGTAGATTCCCAACAGTGGTATCAGAACCCATTTTGTGTTTGTTAGAAATTGTTTAATATATTTGTGCAATCAAAAGTTGATTGTTATCCATTTTTTATGTTTCTAGCAATTGAAGAAAATTTAGTTTTCTTAATTTTTTGAAAACTGATTTCGAATTAAAAAAAAATATATATTTGGATTGGACGGCGGCATGGCAATGGTGGGCAGCGACTGGTACAGCAGCGCTCGCTGCCTCCACAGCAGCGTTGGCAGCAGCGAACTGCCGCCGCTACTTGGGGCAGCTGCCAGCAGCGGGCGCCACTGCCTGGTGTAGCGACGCTCGCTACCTCCACATCAACGTGAAAATGCTGCTGTTGTGGCAGGAGCCGTTGCTCAGGGCTCTTGCCGCGGGCCAGGCCGGCGCCACCAACACTAACCAAAAATAATAATAATAATAATAATAATAATAATAAATATTTAGGGTTTTCAGATTCAGGGAGGTGATTTGGAGGCGAGGGTTCCTCTGCAATTAAAGTAATTATGGGCCTCTGACTGCAATTACTTTTCAGGGGGTCAGTTTGCAATATTTTAAAAGGGGACCTGTTCTGCAATTTTTAAATTGGAAGGGTCCAATTTTAATTTCGAACTTGGGTCAATTTGTAAATTTAAAAATTTTGAATTTGATTTTAAAATTGGTTTTAAAATTATATTTCAAATGGGTTAGACCCATTATTTTAATTTTGACCCAAATTAACATTTTATTTAAAATTGACGACTTTCAATATTTTCGTTAAAATATGATTTTAACTTAAAAATTAAATTTTGACCCCAAATTGAATTTTATTTTATTATTCCTAGATTAAAATATTAATTCAATTTAAATTAGAGTTTGACTCTAATTCAATACTTAATTAAAATTTGATTTTAATTAATTATTCACCCGATTATATTTTTGAAATTAGAATTGGATTCTAATCTGACATTTAATTAAATTTTTTTTAATTAAATTGTGTTGCCCTAAAATTTTTCTTGGAGTTAGAATTAGATTCTAATTTGATATTTAATTAAAATTTGATTTTAATTAAATTGTCCCGCCCTAAAATTTCATTTAAGATTAGAGTTAGACTCTAATTTGGTGTTTAAGTAAAATTTGATTTTAATTAAACATGTTCGTCCTAATATCTTATTTATTAAAATTTGATTTTAATTAAAATAAGTTCGCCCCATAATCTTAGAATTAGAGTTTGACTCTAATTTTGTTATTTGATTAAATTTTGATTTTGATCGCCTTAAATTTTGAAATTAGAGTTAGACTCTAATTTGATATTTAATTAAAATTTGATTTTAATTAAATAATCCCGCCTATAATTGTGAAATTAGAGTTGGACTCTAATTTGATATTTAATTAAAATTTGACTTTAATTAAATATGCCCGCTAATTAAATTAATTGATTAATATGATTAATTAATTATTTAATTGTTCCAATCCATTTGTCTAAAGGAGTTTAGACGATTTAACTGCAATTTTATTTTCTGTGTGGATCACCGTTGGAGGCTGGACAATTGAATAGCTGTGGGTAGAGAATCAAGATTGCTGGAACGAAAAGAAAAGTAAAAGATTTGCAGAATTCTTCAAAGGTACAATCTTTATCACGATTTCTATCTACACACAAATGAATTCTCGGAGGGAATCAAAATAATTTTAATTTTTCACTGTGCATGTATAAGTAGATTCCCAACATAAACTCCAATGGAAGGAGAGAGAATCCAGTTACAACACATGGGATGTTGAGAATTTTATGTTAATCGCGTGGTTGATCTAACTCGATGGAGTCGGAAACAGGACACAGTTACATGTTAAGGAAGTTTGGGATGCTGTCCAAGAAACATATTCAAATTGGGGCCGGCGTGTAAAAGATTGTTAAAATTACTAAAGATTTCAACAATGTATATGAAATAGCAGCAGAAGGCCAAATATTTTCGTTTAAATAAGTATGAAGTATAGCAATAGATTAGACAACCATTTGTAAATTCAAAATTTATAACAATATTTCCAATTTTTTTAAAATGTTCACAATAGATTTGTGACTAAAAAGTTCCCAAACAAATTCCATTTCAGATTTTTCTAATAGTAGTTTTGATGTTTCTAATTCTATCTTTGTTTAATTGTTTATCACCATCCAAGCTGATTATTATCTTATATGTAGATATCTTGTGTAGAATCATGCTACAACTATATAATTATTGACATAATGTCACATGGTACTTCCTAATTGGAATCTTTTAGACACAATCAACTTTTTTATCAAATCACATCTTGTCAACTAATATTATGTCTCTCAATCTGTCAACTACTTTATGTCAAAGTGACATAACCCTCTCGTGTTTAATTAAATGTGAAAATTGCCATTTAAGATTAAAAATTATGAGAGCCCCAATCTAGAATTACAAATCATTAGCTAAATATAACAAAATGATCCGAGTAAATTTAATAAGATTGAGATAAGTTCCATTTATTAC